CTTTCCCTAAGAAACTGCTCCTTAATTTGGAGAGTCATTTACAGTTTCAGTAAATGACTCAAAAGAAGCATTATGGATAGAGATGACTAAAAGGCTAATTTCACCCCTTGGTCTATGAATAGGAGCCTTAGTTCTTGGGAATCAGATCCCTGTTATCTGCTCAGCTTGGCGTTCTTCTGTCTCATGAAGGCTCTGGGTGAGATAAAGCAGTGCTTCTTTGACCTGTGGACATGTTGCAATAAAAAGCTACAAAAGACTAGGGCCAGACATATCCTAGATATAATTTAAGTGCTGGAGGCACAGCTACTGAGAAGCCAATGGTATGGAATTTAACCTAATGCATCTGTTAACATTTTAGAACCAATTTCCCAAACTCAATTATATAAACTGTTATGTACTTCTTACATAAACATGCATCGCTCTCTCTAATTTTTGGATAGCTGCATTACACTGTATGCTGCTGCTGTGACTTTGACAGTGTTAGCTTAGTGAAATTGCTAAATGCACTTGAAGTGCTGGAAATAATAAAGCCATATGTATAACTGTGTATTTCATTAATGAGATGGCAGCACCATAAACTGTGAAAATAATGCAGCTGTATGAAATTATAGTGACGAATGTGCAGTTCTAGTGAGAGCCAACGCGTAACAATGCTGGCACCATAGCTTTTCTCTCAAAAACATGCTTTGTAGGGGGCAATTGCTGAATTTGCTCCCTTTGTTTACGTGCAGAATACAACACTGGCATTTTCTCTTCCTCCTAGTCCTTGTAGAAATCCTTGGCTTTTGGTGGAAATAAGAATGTTAACTACAGACATTTATGTTAACGATGGTTGCCATCCAAGGTAGGTAGGCTTGGCTTCAGTTTTGGAGCAAATCATCAGTTCTGGCCTTTGACCAGCTGCTGTGGCATGGAGGAAAGACAAGAAATGGGACAAAGTGTATTGTTCCCTCTTCCCTCTAAAGCCAGAGAAAACTCTCAGCTTAGCAGGTCATTATGATCAGTGCATCTGCATCCCACTGAAATTGGGAAAACAAAGGACAGCTTAGAATGAGTGACCCAACAAAAACTTAAGCCATTAAGAGCTGATGGCGGAAAGACGAGGAACAGGCTTACAGCCAAAAGACACTCAAATAAGGAGATGAAGGACAGTGAGTAAATTCCAATGACTCAGAGAAGATGGAGAGACAAAGGCCTTAACTGTTATCAGCTCCTAAATGATACAAAAAGCACATCGTAAACTCTCACATGGGCGCACCCAGAGAAGAGGCCAGGACAGCTGCTGAGGACTGGTCAGTGAGTGTCCCTTGTCCTCCTCGCGATAGCAGGGAAACCTGGTCAAACTGCAGGGACACAGATGTCTTGAATACCTGGGGAAAACAGTATTGGCCTGAGCAAGTGAAATCAGCTGTGTTATAAAATAAAATCGTCTTCTGCAGTTGTTACAACATTGAAAGATTAAAGGTGAAGGTTTAGAAGTAATTAAATCTCTGGCCAGTCTGACTACGCTGCTGGATATTTCCTGAAAGAAACACCCTGGGATAAGAGTAGTTGAGCCATCAGCAGATAAGGCAAGATTTGGAAGCTTCCACATCCTGAGCAATTGGTGTGCGGGTGTGTGCGCATCACCCGGGAGTGACTGTTGCTGTTCATTGATCTTGATAAGTATGCAGAAATCTCTGTGGATAAATAGCAGCCATGCCTCTTATCACCAGGGCCATAAACTGAGACTCTCCCTTTAAACTCAAAAAAAAAAAAATCCTAGAAGGGATTATCGGTGTGTGAAGTACCTGTAGAAAATACCACGGGGCGGGGGAGGGTACATGGAGAGCCATATGCCTTAGGTAGCTCATTTCTCTTACCTAATGAGCTACAAGTGGCTGAATGACATGAGAGAGTGCCTTACATATACCCAGAAGAGAAAATCCACACCTCATATGAACAGCCAAAATAACCGCACTCTTTTAACCTGCATTGTTTTTACCTCCATTTTTTAGCTACCGTGGCAAGACCATGCCCCTCAAAATCCCGTAAAACAAAGTGCCAATATGAACTAATCCACTGGTGAGGCTGCGATGGTGCTTCAGCTGCAGACATGACTACACAGCATGAGCTCTAGAGAGAGGTTTGTAGTGCTGCCATCAGCACTTTCCTGTTATATGGGATGTCTAGACAGGTAGGAGAAATATAAGGCTCTGGCAAGCAGCAACTTGCAACTGCAGCTGTTTTTTCACAGCTCAAAAATAATCCAGTGTGAGGCAAAGACTGGCTACTCTGAAAGTAGGAGGAGCAAGTGACCAGAGGTGAGTTCCCTCCTCACCTCAGATATACAGTTTGGTCCTCCTTTATTTTATCGTTTCCCCCCCAGCTGCCTAGCAGCCTTCTGGAGCCACCCTCACACATCAGAGAAGTTTTCCTCATAAAATAAAGGATGGAACAAGCCAACTAGGGCTGGATCTGGCTGGAGCAGGGTGCTGTCTTGATAACACATCAAAGATGAGGAAGGTGGTTACAAGAGTTCAGGCCAAATAATATACTTCATAGCAGCAGGGAAGGAATTACTGGGCATGAGGTGAAAAGAGAAAAAATCCTTGTAATGTAAAAGATGCTGCTTGATCTGAGTCTGATAAAGCCATGGCTGCACAAGATCAAAACTGCCTGGGCCAGTGAGCCTCTCATAGGAGCCATTCTTGTCTAAGACACCTATGGTGGGTAGGAAAGGTGAAATCCAGAGCAGAGGAAGGATTTGGTGGAATTGGTCTTTATCTCATGGCTATGTTTGGTCATTTACCTAAAAGATGCTGATCCTGATTCAGAGCTTGCTGACTACTGGATTTTTCCAGGCCTATCACAGATTATCGTGTAGGTTATAAAAATCTGTGGCTTCTGTTACCTGTCATTAGCAAGAACACAAAAATCAGTGTAAAACTACATTAAGAGAAACACAGCCCTTGCGACTTTAAGATGCCATGCTTAAGTGAATCCTGCTTTGGAAGGCTCTACCTTTAAAAGTTCTCTTCACATTCATTTGCCACACTTTCCTTTAGGCACCTGAGTCACATAATTCAAATGGGCCAGAGTCTACAGCCTTCGTCCAGGCTCATAGTCCAAAGACCTTGAGCAATGAATGTCCTAATATGCACTGAGTACTACAGTTGTAAATTACCCAGTAATATTCTCAGTCACTATAAGCTTTGGGAACATCTGCTCTAAGCATGGAGGTGAATTTTTTCCCTTTTCCC